TGGCTGCCTACCGCCATCTTGGCTGACAGTTAATTTGCATAAGGATATGCTGATTAGCCAATGGGAAGGGTAGAGGTCGTACGCTAATTACAATGTTTCTCTTTTATTAGTGTAGATAGTATACAACTTAATGGGCGTTTGCCACAGAATAGCATCTGGGCTAGGTTAGGCTAAAAGCTGAGAGGGGCTTTGTTGATGGGTGACATGTGAGAAGTGCTCCTGCCCTTAAATCCTGCCCGTGTTTGCCACTGAGAATGGTAGGGAAGAGCCTGTTTGAGAGCATTGCTTTGGAGGAAGGATGTGATGCTCACTGCTGTCCTGCTCTGTTGGACATAGAACTGTCTGTAATGTTCCTAATTCTCAGTCCGTGTTACTGTTCATGGAGCCATGACTAGTGTAGATGGTCTCATGCCCCCGGAGATTCAAACTGAGGTATTTTCTCCACTGTGAGGAGCCTCAGGACCAACAGGAAACTTCTCTCTGCCCTGGTGTGAGTCCCTAGAGCTGATCCCCAGGGTCACCGTCAACAGATGGAGGGAAAAGAAGTCCAGGTTTTTCATCTTTATTTAAAAACATTGTTAATAGTGGCCTGTATAACACAGCAATTTAAACATTTAAAGGCTTAATTTTTATTAATTGTTAACAGAATAACTCCCATAAAATGATTGCTGTTAGCTCTTGACCATGAAAAGTTAACTGTTTACTTGAGCTAATCAAGTGGCCCAGCTCAGGTCCTCATCCTGGACTCGGAATCCAGAGATCTTTCCAGCTGGTTCAGGGAGGACCCTCCCTGTGGGGAGACTTGCCTGTGCCCCACATCTCACTCCGTCTTTTCCTCTCTGTTACTCCTCCCCTCCCAGTGGAGCCTACAGTGACCATCTTCCCGGCCAAGACAGAGGCCCTGAACCACCACAACATGCTGGTCTGCTCGGTGACGGATTTCTATCCAGCCCACATCAAAGTCCGGTGGTTCCGGAACGACCAGGAGGAGACAGCCAGCGTCCTGTCCACCCCCCTGATTAGGAATGGGGACTGGACCTACCAGATCCTTGTGATGCTGGAAATGACCCCCCAGCGAGGGGACATCTACACCTGCCGGGTGGAACACCCCAGCCTCCAGAGCCCCCTCACAGTGGAGTGGCGTAAGGGGCAGTTTCTTTCCTGCACCCTGGGCCCCACAGACAGAGGGCAAACAGCAGACCCTGCCTGTCCCATTGCATCCCTACCCCTGATGTCACTGCTGAGTGGACATCACAGGACGCTAGGCTGCCTCATTCCATGGCAGGGGCATCAGAAGATTCCTAATCTCATTGTCTTTCCAGACACTAGGGAGGTCACTCTACACAAGACTATGGTGGCTGGTGACGGGGCTTAGGATCCAAGGTTAAGGATGTGTGTGAAGGAGCCGGACCCACTTCCCCGTCACCACCCACGGTGCCCAAGGGTTTACTGGCTGGTCCCCCCAGGGATGGAGGCTTCCAAAGGGCCCCTGTGGGTTTGGGACAGAAGCTGACACCCAGGCTCTGCTCCCCAGGGGCACAGTCTGGATCCGCCCAGAGCAAGATGCTGAGCGGCATCGGGGGCTTCGTGCTGGGGCTGATCTTCCTGGGCCTGGGCCTTGTCATCCGTCACAGGAAACAGAAGGGTAAGCAACTGGGGAAACGGGAAGGTGGGCTGTGCCCAGGACCCTCTGTTGAGGGATCCTCTGTTGTAGGTGTAATTCACCTCTTGACCTGGAATGCGGGAGGTCGGGCTGGTGGTGGGAGGAGACAGACAGCTAGGCGAGGCTTTGGACTCCGATTTTACTGGTTGAAAGGCAGGCCTGCCACAGGTATGACTGTGGCGAGTGTCCTGGGGCTGAGAGCTCATCACTGTCTTGCTGGCCCTTTTCCAAAAGCTGCTTCTTTAAGATCAGGGCGTTGGCTTCCCTTCCTTCTAGTGACAGGTCCACTCGTTTGGGGGATTGTAGCTTAGGGGGTAAGGCCTTGTGGCCTATGGGTAGGGAGGAAATAGATTTCCAATTAAGTTGTTTATTTCATTTCCTGTGGGTAGGAGAGGGACTGGCTGTTAAATGTGACCTTTCTCTGTGTAAAGTCTTTTTGTAGGATCTGATGGGCCTCTGCCCCATGTACTGTC